CCCCGCAGTCAGCAGGCCTGCCTGCTCCGCGGGGCGATCTGAGGCGTGTTCGGGGTGGGCCCCGGACGCGAGGGGGGCTGCGAGGCCGCAGGGGCTGCCAGCACTCGCAGAGGGAGGCAGCCACCTTCTGTCCCAAGTGCGTCTTAACCCAGGGCAGAGTCGGAAGGATGGTTTCAGGCAGGTCCACAGGAGAGAAACTCCACTCCGGGAAAAGAACACCCGCGCTTGGCCAGAGGAGGGGCTGCACCGAAACGAGTGCCCATCCTTCTCCCTCCGGCGCAGGCGGCCTCTGCCCACGCCCCCAGTTTCCTGCGCACCCACAGCGGGGTATGGACTGGACTGGGCGCCCAGGTTTCTCTGAGGAGGGTGGGGAGGGTAGGGGACTGAAGGTTAGTTTGAATTTAGGAAGAGCAGGCCTCTAGGGGGCCAACCGGGGCCGGGCAGGTCTCAGCTCCCTCTGGGGCAGGTCTCTGCTACCCTCGGGAGAGGGTGTGGATCAATTCTATGACTCCATCCGCCCCTCCTTACTGGGGACTAGGACTGAGGCTCTGTGATTCCTCTTTTACCGCTTCTGTTTTGTTTTTTTTTTTTCTTATTACAAAAGCAGTGCATGTTTATTGTAGAATTAATGCAAACATGCAAAAGGAAGAAAATAAAAACCCAACTTGCTTTCATTACCTAGAGACAGACCTTTTTTGTATGTCTTGAGTACAAACACAGTTATTCTATGGGACAACTGGCTTTTTCTTTTCAAACAATACGTTGTGAATATCTTTCCAATGAATGTAGTTGGGCATACAGTCTTGCAGTGTGTTAGTTTCAGCTCTCCTTTACTGGGCTTTTAGAGTGTGGCTGTTTTTTTGCTTCTGTCCACACCATTCAGGGGTCAGTCTCCTGCTGGGTCACTATGCATGTTTTTAATTATTTCCTTAAGATCCATTGCTCAAAACAGCTGGGTTAACTGCTCTGCATTTTTAAAAAGTTTTACTACATTTTGTCAAATTGACCTTTAGAAAGGTTATGTCAATTCATACTCCCACCTGCAGAGAATGCAGAAGTCTGTTGCCAGAATTCATCATCATCAATCATGAATATTAGTCTTCTTTTTATTCTTTTATCTTTGCCTATTATTTAATTGGAGTATTCACCTTTTTCTTACTGGTTTGTGTTTTATATACATTCAATCAATTCTCCTGTGTTTGGCAGTTTTTTTCTTCAATTTATCAATTGCTTTTTAAATTTGCACTGAACATTTTTGTGTAATTGAAATTCTTAATATTTTAATGTATAGCTTCTGCTTTTGGTGTGTTTTTTTTTTATAAAGTCCTTCCCTACCTCAAGATTTTGTATTTATCTCTATATATTCCTCTAGTGCTTCCTTTGCTTTATTAAAAACTTTAAGTGATATGGAATTTATTTTGGTATATGGTATAAAATAAGAATCTAAGTCTTCTCCCAGCCCACTCTCCCTACCCTCATTTTTGGTTCTAATCCCTTTTGACTCTGACACACACTACAGCCAGTTCCTAAAGGAGCAGAGCAAAGGGAAGGTCTGGTGGCAGAGGTCCTATCTCCAGGAAGCACAGAAACATTCTAACTCAGGGACAGGACCCATTTGTAGCCATATGTGATCGGAATCACATAGATCTGGATGAAGTCCAGTTTCTGCCACTCTCACCCTGTGGGACCTGGGGCAAGTTACTTAACTTATCTAACCCTCAATTTTGTATCTGTAAAATGGGTATACTAAAAGCACCTAACTCTGAAGATGGATGTGAGGATAACATGGCAATATGTTTGGTATGTAGCAAGCTCTCAATACTAGCAGCAGCAGGTAGAGAAACGATGGAGAAGATAAATGCAAGTGCATCTGATATGGGGATGTTAAAAAGAAATACAAACTATCAGTAATTATAGAAATAAAGGCAAATGAGGCCATGTGCTATAATTGCAGTTTGAGTTCAAGAGAATTTATCCATACCAATTAGGAGGGTTACCTAGGAGGAAAAAAGGCTTATATTCCTACAGCCTGGATCCACCAGAATCTGGACTGAAACTAAACTCAGTTATTTCAAAGGAATCTAGTAGCATTTTTGTTCTCAAACCTGTTCCACGGCTTTCTGATGGGCCTGTCTGGGTTGAAGAGAATCAGCAGAACAAGCCGGCATTTGGAGGACTCACCAATAGAGAGCAAGGGGAGGGGGGCGGGGTGCTTCTAAGTGGGCAGCCATCTCCCTCCTGGCTCACCCCCAGCTGAGGACTGCTACAAAGACAAGTAGTCACTGGACTGGGGCCAGGGGCACCAGTCAGCTTAACCAAAGCACTCAATAGACACTGTGTTTTCCCCCGGCAAATGAGGAAAATGACATGGTGAGAAGGCATATGCCTTGTCCAGAATCACAAATCCCAGGGGCAGAGAAAGCCAAGAGAAATGCTGCCTCAGAAGGAGCCATTTCCCATCGCGAGGATGCCCAGAGCGCGGCCTTGACTAACAAAGGGAATGGGAATGCTGCTCTTGAGCTCCGGGCAGTGGAGGCCCGGCATATTTTTATGAGGCATGGACAATGAGTAGCCATTCAAAAGGCCAAAGCTGCCTCTTCTTAGAAGAAGGAAAATATTTTAGGAATCCCTTGCTACTAGGCAAATGCCTGATTGCTTTTCAGGGCAGTGAGACTCAGCTTGTTGCTCTGTACTTAGGGCTTTAAGCTTTGATTCTGAATTTGCTCCAATAGAACAGTAGTTCTCAATTCTGGCTGCACAGCAGAGTGAGCTGAGGAACTCTTAATAACACCGATGTCCAGGTACCACTTCTAGGAAGCGGAATTAAATTGGCCTATAGCAGGGCTGAGATGTCGGTCGGTATTGCTAAAAACTCCTTAGTGACTCTGACATGTAGTTTAGAGGTAAGAAGAAGCCCCTTTTTGCAATGCTGTATTACCTCTCTTCCCAGCCACTGACAACTAGGTTACAAGACAAAACTATTCTAGGAATGTGTTTCTCAAACTCTAAGGAATTCTCCGGGGATCTTGTTAAAATGCAGGTTCTGATTCAGGAGGTCTGAGATGGAGCCCGAGAACCTGCATTTCTAACAAGCTCCCAGATGCTGCTGATACTGTTGGTCTTGACCACGTGTGAGTCCCAGGAGTCTAGAGGTGGTCCTCATATTTCAATGAGCATAAAAATGGCCTGAGAAGCCTATTGAAAAAACAGATTCCAGGGCTGACCTGGAAGTGTCAGGGATGGGGTTTAGGAAACTGCATTTTTAACAAGTCTTCAGGTGAATTGATACACTTGGTAGTTCAAAGGCCACACTTGCAGAATGTGGTCAGTCTGCCTACAGTTCTCTCAGGCGTTTATCTTTTTAGCACATCCTGGAGGGAACGCTTGGCTGAAAGATCACACAGTCAATTGACTTGGAGTTGAAATTGAGCAGAGAGCCCATGATGCCTAGCTCCCAGGCCTGAACTCCAGCTCACTGACTCTGAGATCCCTTATCATTCAGGCCAAACCCCATCACTGCAGGAAACCTACACGTCCTTGCATTTTCTTGAAATGAAGAAGCCATTGGTTTAGGTTTAGGTTTTGATTTTAAAGTTATTTGACCTGCACCCCCCCACCCCGCTCGCCCCCCAAACAACTGTGACTAATGCATAGATCCTGGGAGTGTGAAAACCAAAGGCTTTAAAAGATGCCTTCCACCCAAGGAAAAACCTCAAGCAGGAAAGTGAAAGGTACAAAAATCAATGCTATATGTGATCTCAAAGACACTAAATAAGAAGTCTCCACCAAATTAATGTGCTTTATTCCCTTTGCTGAGACAGCATGGGAGGTGGAATCAACCCGGGACCTGAAATGAGCATCGGAAAGAAAACGGACGCATACCACTTATTCTCTAATTTGGTTCCTGTTAGACCCACTGCTTATCGAATACTAATTATTCAGTTTGTAGGTGATTCTGGGTCTTTTTTATTTCCTGGTTCTTCTCTCTTACTTCTCTTTGTTTGGGCCCTTACAGTGCTTATCAGCATCTCCACCAAGGAGGAACAGTGGAAATGAACCCCATGTGAGGCAGGTAACATCTGTGAGTAGATCTGCTTAGAGGTTCAATGGGAAGAACGAATTATTATTGCAGGTCTCATGGAATTCACCTCAACGTGCTGTCTAGGCTCACTTTTATATGATGAATTAAAGTCTTATAACAGGAATAGAATGCCTTCCCCATAGTTCAACAACCACCAGCAACAATTTGGTAGAAAAATTAGAACTTGAAAAATGCTCTATTCTTTCATTCATTCAAATATACTTTACTATTTTATATGCTTCTTATTCTCATGGTCGTGGTAAAACTGTTGTGAGATGGGGACATAATTTATTACCACCTACGTGTGACTTTCATGTTTAAGGAAGGTTTTTTTTTTGTCTCTTTCTTCTAGTAGTTACAATATATTATGTAACAAAACATAACTCCTTTTCCCATTACTTGGTATAATAAATATCTTGGTGAAATTTCTTACAGAGTTTGATTACTCAGTCAAAACCTAAGTATCCTGCTGGGAGAAGAACAATCATTTTAGTGACATTGTTCTATGCTTCGGTTGAATTGAATAGTTACTAATCCAGCCAGAGAAGAAAGAGACAAGTAATTGGAATGGAGCAAACACACTGAGCCCCTAAAAAAAAAAAGACTCACAAGAAGTATAAAATTTCTCATCAAATGTCTGTCTGTTTACTCCTTTCTTTACAATAGTCATTGTAGCTTTTAGAAATAATTCTAGGAGCCTGGTCTACACTACGGAAAAATGTTATTCCTCATTCAAATGATCTGGAAGTGAATTTAAACAAATATTACCTGCCAATGGTCAATGTTAGGTCAATAACTCTAATAGCCAATTTGAATTTTCTTTTAAGAAAATGTAACATCCCCATCCACCCTCAACCCCTCACTGTGTAATGTCACCAGATTTTTTTGGATTGTCTGAGGGTAGAAAACAGGGAGGTTGGCTGGCTGATTTTCATGTAACTTGCATAAATTAATAGCAAAACTTTTCTCTCATTCACCTACACATTCCCAGGCCTCTTCCAGGATCAATGCTGGAGAGCAGTTAGGCAGAGCGGACGCAATGGGAATAGATGTCTTGGTGTGGTGTGGTCAGGATCCCCTAGAGAAGATGCTGCATGAAAGTATCTTCTGGTAAAGAACGCAGCACTTGGTTCTGGGTCGGCATGTAGATTGGCAGCCTGGGTTTAAAGCAAGCATGTCAAACTCAAAGGCTAACATGGGCCAAATAAACAAGGTTTAAGTTTATGTGGGCCGCAAAAAAAAAAAAGCTTCAATTTTCATTGAAACATAGGGTTATTTCGATAGAGGCATGCTGAATACAAAGGGCTGAAAGAAATGAGTAATCGTTAACATAAAATAATAGAACATTTTAATAAACATTTAATATTTTTCTTGAACATTAACTGACCAGACACTGAATAACTACACAAATTAATAAGCGTAATGCAAATAAACCTATTTTTCTTGTTCTCCGAAAGTGAAATATTTCCTGTTGCGCACACCAAACAAGTCAGTACAAGACTAATGACGTGGCAATTGGCTGCTGAAATAATCGCTGCTAGTATTAGTGGAGAGAAATGGTACGCCTGCACGTAAGGTGTGTAAGGGAAATGAAGGCAACACGATTACAGTCATCAGTCATTAGTGAATGTTGTAGTTTGTTATTAATAATTATGTATAATAAGATATTGTAAAAATTAAGTTACGAAATTTTTATTAAAACGTTCCTTATATACTGTTATATTGGCTGGGTCGCAAGTTTGACATGCTTGGTTTAACTGTATCAGGTAATCAATGACTTTTTAAATTTATGGATTTGTAGAGCTAGAAGAAGGGATCTCTGAGGGAATAGAGATTACATGAATTTCGGATCCAGCTGCAATTTCCTCTATTTTTCTTTTACACAGAATCACAATTTTGTTCAGTGTTCCCTCTGGAGACGCTGAAATGATGCCCGCCCTCCCCCTCCTCCCGCCCCGTCTCCTTTCCAGTGATTGGTTCAGGAATGGCATGTGTAACTCAGTGATGGCCAGTGCTATGTGAGGGAAGTCTTCTGGGGCAGCGGTCACCAACCTTTCGGATCTCACAGACCACCAGTGGTCCGCAGACCACCGGTTGGTGACCGCTGCTCCAAAGGTTTCCTTAAACCAGCGGTCGCCAACCTTTTGGACCTCACGGACCACCAGTCGTCTATGGACCACTGGCTGGCGACCGCTGTTCTGGGGGATTCTCTCTCCTTTTCCTGGATGCTGTGTCTAACCGTAATGTTCAGGATTACAGCAGTCATTTTCCTACCAGCATAGGATGAAGGGTATACTCAGGATGACAAGAAGAGAGAGGAAGACAGAAAAACCTAGGTTTTGGATGATATCATTGATCAACCCCTGTAATGGTTAATTTTATGTGTCAACTTGACTAGCTAAGCAGGGGTCCTCAAACTACGGCCTGCGGGCCACATGCAAATACAAATATTGTATTTGTTCCCGTTTTGTTTTTTTACTTCAAAATAAGGTATGTGCAGTGTGCATAGAAATTTGTTCATAGTTTTGTTTTTTTAAAACTATAGTCCGGCCCTCCAACGGTCTGAGTGACAGTGAACTGGCCCCCAGTTTAAAAAGTTTGAGGACCCCTGAGCTAAGGGATGCCTAGGTAGCTGATAAAACATTATTTCTGAGTGTGTCTTTGAGGGTGTTTCTCTGAGAGATTAGCATTTGACTCTGTAGACTCACCAAGTAGAACAAACAGGTAGAGGAAGGGTGAATTTGCTCTCTTGCTTGAGCTGGGACATCTGTCTTTCCCTGCCCCCAGGCACTGGTGCTCCTGGTTCTTCAGATTCAGACTGGTACTTACACCGCTGGCTCCCCTTTTTGGACTGGAACTATACCACCAGCTTTTCTGGGACTCCAGCTTGCAGACATCAGATCATAGGATTTCTCAGCCTCCATAATCATGTGAGTCAATTTCTCATAATAAATCACTTTAAATATCTCTTCCTTTGGTTCTGTTTCTGGAGAATCTTGACTAATACAAACCCTAAGCTGCCCTGCTACTCAGCTTTCTCTTTTGCAGGATAATACAGTTTCTTAATATTTAAACCAGTTTGAATCAGGATTTCTGTTGCCTATGGCCCAAAACATCTTAAATGATTAAGAGAATCTTAAGACCAAGTTCTCATTTCACAGAAGATGTAACAGAGTCTGCTCAATGTCATGTTGCAGGTGACAAGAGAACTCAGGACTAGAGATTGGGTTTTCTGCCCCAGGATCATCTTTATTATATGCTACCTCTCACAATTTACTCAATTATAAATTAAAAGTGGCTTAAAAGTATATTTCTGAACTCACTGTACTTGTATTTAATAACATTGCCTTACCTAGGTCAAAGTCTGGAATTCCAACCCAAATTGTTCTCATTTGTACATGCTGAATCAAACTGTTCACTCACACGCACGAAGAATGTGCTGGTTCGCTTTGAAGAACTCAAAACACTTTGTTTTGCATTGCTGGGGAGCATTGGACTGGGAGACTTGATCAGCAAGGAAAACAAATTATACCTCTTTGGATCAAGATTAGTCATCTGTGAGGTAGGGGAGACCACAGGATATTGTCCAAGGCCTTTGCCAAGACTTTGGTTGGAAGATTTCATGGAATCCAGAGCAGAGGATGAGGTGAGGGTAGGAGGGGGGGATAAAGGGTGGTAAGACTGGTTTATTCTTTCTGTTTCTAGTAGCATTTCTTAGATCAGACCATCCCCCATCTACCATGCCTTCTGCTTGTCTCTGGTGTTACCTGCATTGTGCCCATCCAGTAGGGCCCAGGTTAAGCCGTATCTCCTCTGCCAAATCTTCTCTGATCACTGCAGCACACACCAGTGACTCTTGGAACTCACTTATTTCCTGGACTCCTTACTCATTCATTAAGCATGCCACGTTATTATGGAATATTTCAGTCATTTTGCCTCTGCCTCTAAATTTTATCTTTAAGGAACAGATCAGCAAAGAAAAGAGGACATGGACTTTAAAGACACATTTACTTGGTGTGAATCCTGCTGTGGGTCCCTACTTTGCAAAACTCCAGGGGCCAGTTAGGCAACATGGCAGCCCTGCCTGGCTCTACCAGTGTGCAGTAACCTTCTCTGGCCAGCTCTGGAATGCAGTTAGGGCAGGACTGGAAAAGCAAACAGTATTAATTTTTTATTGCTGCTCAAGTGACCACAAACTTAGTGCCTTAAAACAACACATGTCTGTTACCTTACGGTTCTGCTGTTCATTCGTCGGTTGAGTCAGTGAGGCTGGTATCGTCAGGGGAGAATCCATTTCCTTGCCTTTTCTAGCTTCCAGAGGCTGCCTGCATTCCTTAGCTTGTGGCCCCACATCAGTCCAAACTCTGTTTCGCTTGTCACATGTCTGTTGATCTGTCTCTGACTTTCCTACATCTTACAAGGACCCTTGAGATTACATTGGGCCCTCCTAGATAGTCCAGGAGAACCTCCATCTCAAGAGCCTCAATTTAGTCACTTCTGCAAAGTCCCTTTTGCCATTTGAGGGAACATATTCACAAGGATTAGGACATGTACATCTTTGTGTGGCGGGGGAGGGGTACAGGGGGAGAGGAGGCATTCGTCTGCCTACCACAAATATTTTCTGTGGATATCAGTTTCCACATCTATAAAATGGAGACACTTGCTGTCTTCCTCACAGGATTACTGAGGTGACTGAATGAGGTAATATATGTATGTAAATCTCCAGGCCCGTGCCTGGCACAGCGGAGGTGATCACTTCTGGTCAGTGTTTTCTCCTGAGTGGTTTGTTGCGAGCTGGAGGTCAGGCACTCTGACTTCTACCTCTTTCTAACCCTTTAACTTCTAGCTAGTGTGGGATCTCAAATAGGAAATCAATAAATGTAATAAATAATTACCTTGATCGATGGCAATGCCTTGCATATAATAAGAGCTCTGAAATGATTTGTTGACTTTTTGTTAGCAATGGATGGAGTGGGGGGGGCGGGGGGGCACCTGATTAAATGCTATTATTTGTTGGATCCAAAATATAAACTTGGATTCTTCTGCTACACTTTTACCCAATTACCCTAAACACTAGTGGGAGAGAGGAATTAGCTCACAATACAATTTAAAGGAGGAAAAAAGAAATCTTGCTGTCATGGACTTTTCCTTTTGGTCTGGAAACTTCTTGGTTTCCTGGGGTGCAGCTGACTGTTCTCTCTGCAACTGAAAAATCTCTCCAGGGCCCTGTCCAGTTGGGTCACACAAAGCCAGTCTTATTATTTAGAGAGCACACAATGCCCCCTCACATGGGGCACAGAGAGGAAGGAATTTTTTAAAAGCCAATTCCAGTGCCCTGGAGCTGCAAACTGCCCTCGGGGCAGAGAAGCCTGCAGAATAATTGGGAGGAGTCTGGCAGGAGGGGGGCCGCTAAGTTAAAGCTGCATTTCTCTGTATCCAGGGATGCCACACCACTTTTTAAGCATTCCCCTCTGGGACAAACCTGTATGTCAAGATAAACAATGAAATAATATGCAAGGGCCGGATCGGGAACTGCAGCTTCAGCCTGAGAAAATAACATGGGGAACGGGGAACGACAGTCTGTCTGCGCTGCCGAGCTGGGGAGACAGGTCCCTAGGATTCTGCGAGAGAAACGGGGCAGGGAGAGGCGCTGCCTGTTTGGAATAGGCTTCAGGCCCTAAACTTGGTAGGTTCATGCTTTTTCAAGATGATAAGGTGGCAAAAGACCTTTGATCGTTCCTCTGTCAAACCGTAGTGCAGTGGCCCCAGGATCCCTCATGCAGATGTGGCTAGTGAGTGGGTGAGAGAGGGTCCGGAGACCAGATCCCAAAACTGTGAGAGGGACGATAGTCACAGGAGGGCAGGCAATTGGGTGGGACAGCTTGGCCCTTAGAGCTGGGTAGGGATTTTAAGGAGAGGATGCTGCACGCTGCCAACCCGAGTGTCCTGCTGGGCTTCCACGTCATGGTGTCCGGGCAGTGAAGGCCACGGGGCGGTCAGGGAAACACACTTGGTCAGAATGCTCTGAACTGCTAGTGCAAGGGGGTTGAACTTGTCTAAGGGACTTTTGGGGGACAAGGGGGAAGCATTGTTTGTATACTGTGTGACCAGAGTATAGAACTCATGGTCCCAAGCGATGGCTGAATGGTCTTACTGTCTGGTCTCTCTGGGCAGAGCAGGCTGGCAGGGTCTGGGGAGTCAGGCCAGCTGAGGCAGCGTATTTCAGAGGCCAGAGCAAATCCCAGCAGTAATACCCGGGCCCATAGCCACTGGTGCCCAGGGCATGCGGCCCAGGCCTGGCCTCAGGTTACCGAGGTTCTGGGCAAGAGAAGGGTGAGTCTGGTGAATATGCAAGAGCACCTGCACCCAGGGAGCTGCTGAGTGCAGGGTGAGGGCCCGGTTAGAAGGCCTGGCCTGAGGGACATCCCTGGGATCGGATCATTATTTAGGGGCCCCTTGGAGCATTTGGATGTAGGGAATCCTTTTCTTAGGGCTTAAAGTTATAGCTCAGGAGTGGAGGCTCAGAAATGTTTTGAGTAGAATGGCCCTTCAGAAAAACTGAGACACACACAGTCTTTAGGATAGACATTGGGAAGTGCAGTCAGGCTAAGCAAGGGCCATACTCTGGGGCCCTTTTGTCATAAAACAGAGGGTGGTCTTTGAGTCTGGCCTTGTCTAATCATTCCCATGTCAGGCCAGCCAGTCCCCCGGAGGGCTGTGGGGGATATGCTCCCAGACCGAGGGCTTGTGAATGGGGTGAGAGAGGGTCCAGAGACCAGATCCCATATGCTCCCAGTATGTAGGGTAGAAGCAAATTCTACTCTGAGAAGCCCCGTGGGGGGCTCAATGCTGGATAAGAACCAAGGGGAGCTTGGTTCATACACTTTGACAGAGGACGGTTGCCAGATTTAGCAAATGAAAATAAAGGACACTCAATTCATTTGAATTTCAGAAAAAAACACTGAATAATTTTTTGTATATGTATATCCCAAACATTGCATAGGACATACTTTTACTGAAATTATTTTTTCTTTTTCTGAAATTTAAGTTTAACTGGGCATCCTGTGTTTATCCAGCCACCGTATTACAGCAAAGCAAAGCAGGCAAGGTCTCACCTTGACCTCTACGAAAGGCCCCTTTTAAAAGTCAGATCCTGAGTCAGCAGAACAAGCATAAGTGTTGAATGAAATATCATTTTCCATAAAAATTCTTTGGATTTAGTTTGCAATCCCCTCATTGAAGTGCCACCCACCAGTGATCCTCAACTGGTTTGATAAATACGTACAAGTACAGAGATGCAAAGCCCGGTGCAGTCACAGCGTATAAAAATCCCATCATTTCATGGCTTTCAGAAAGCTTGCTGATATCTCTCTTTGGCTTCTGTTCTGAAACCCACTGTGGGAGAAAGCCATGACTGCTCTCACTGGGCCGGAAATTCCAGGCCGAAATGACCTGGAGGTAGCGGCCTGCTTCACAGCCTGTCAGTTTCTGGATAGTGTTACTCATCCATCACTCATGCCTGCTAAATTGCAGAAACTCCTTTTCTTCATATCAGACTTTATTTGCTCATAATGCAGCTTGAGCTCACTTTCTGCCATGTCCACAGGGAACTGGGTACCACTCTGTCCACTGGGTCTCGAGGGAAACTGTTAAGTCAAACCAAGGCTTTAGCTTCTATTTCTTCCCATCTGAGGCTGAACCTCTGGGTCCTCTCCAAATTCTCTGTATTACTTTTATGCTCTGATCTGGTTTTGGCTGGAGCCACATTGACCATCTTTCTGTTTGTTGAATGGCCCATTCCCTCCCTAAGGCACCTGGAGTATTCTTTTTCCAGGTCTCCCTACTGCTGCTCCCCTCACCTCCTCCCTGGCCTCCCAGTCTAATCTCTATGATGTCACTGGCTTACCAAAATCCTCACAGCACTTATTAC